ATGAAACATGATTAATCACATAAATCAATATTAAATTATATGTGATCCACAAACAACCATGAAACTTTAAAATTTTGATATTCTTATTTTCTGTATTACATAAGTAATACATTCGTAATAAAACATTCAAGTTTCCTTTAATGTTTTATAAGCTTTTATAAAAAGCATTTCAGAAAATTTATGATTATTGTAAAAATGATTCCTATGATGTACAATTATACTTATCTTATATGAATTATATGTACAATTGTTTTAATATTTAGTAATTTATCTTGTGCAACTGTAAGAAAGTAGATTTCCACAGATTCAAATTTCAAATGTAGAAGTTTCGTCATGCAGATTTTAATCTACAATATTTGTATCATTGTCATATACCAAAGAATACCTAAGATATTTCTTAAACTTTTAGTTCAAGTTAATTTTTGTTTGAAACTTCATACTATTTTTATGCCCATATATTCGATTGTTGAATCTTTACTTCCAATTGAAGAATCAAGTTACATTTAAAAATTACAATGAGAATTCCTTTTTATTTATAAATATGTTTTTCTTCACAATTTGTGGATTTATATTTTGTAATTTTTTAAAACTTATTTATACTAACTACTAATTCATGATAGCTAGCTTTTGAGGAATTGTAGCATCGTTTCATTGATACTGTTTAGTTTTAGGTGTTGGCAAGGGATGAACACGACCGTCGGCGCCGCAATCGATTCAGGTCTGCTGGTAGCAAATCCTATTTTCCCTTATTCCCTGCCACCGTGCTTTTTCCTTCGTTCCCTTTTACTCGTTTTATTTTATTTATCGCATTTTTTTTTTCTGTGCTCGTCTGTGAAAGCGGAGTAAATTTTAATAAAGCGGAGAATTATGTGTATCGTCCCCCAACGGCGTTATATAATATATAAAGAGCGAGCGTCGCATTCCTCGACAGCGTCTTAAGAATTGCGGGGGCGGCTGATATATACATACATATATATACGTATGTATATATCTACCAGGCAAAAATAATAATTGTATATAACCAACGTTTCCAAAACTACCAGTTTATTATATTATACTCCCTCTATCCGAAAATATGGTATACATTTGCGAAACAATTAAATATAAAAAAAATATTCAATTAATTTAATTATAATAATATGAATACTAAATATAAATAATTTTAGTGTAATCCAAATTTAGTTAAAGTGAGATTTGAACGCTTCTTTTGAACAAATACATTTTGTATACATTTCAGCTAATGGAGGAAGTTTTACCTTATTTATATGAGGCAATTTATTCCACCTGTTAATATAATTGATTTCATAGACGTTTGTAATATTATAAAAACGTTATCAAGAATATTTCTCTTTAATTTATTAAATGCATCTTGAACACATTCAATTATTTATCAATTGTGGTTGAAGAAGCTTCATCTTATAGAGTAAATAAACCTAAATCGAGAACGTTTAAATCGGTATTGGTTGGGGCATAAATTAAATAATCAGTAGAAACGTGTTCTGATTTTTATTTGTTCTTCGTACACTGTAATAGCTGTTGCACAATACCATGACGTTGTTCATCAGTCAATTGTTTCGATTCGGTTTCTATTCTTTGTAAATTCACGTTATTTGGGTTAATATTTTCCATTTTGAAATTACAGCGGTCACTATTTTTCTCAAAAAAAAAAACTAATTTTTGGTCTTGAAATTCCAACTTAACTCAAAAGCAACTACTGTCAAATATGTTATGTTTTCGAAACTCTAGAATTTGTGTGCGAAAAGATTGAGTTTGCCAAATGTCACAGTACCAATAATTAAACTAATCAATTTTATAAAGTCGCGCGCGTTAAATGAATTTAAAGAATTCCTGGAAGATTTAGAAACTGAATATGGCGACGTGGTTTTTAATACCAAAGTACGTCAGCTTAGGTACAATGCTAAAAAGAGTATACAACTTACAAAGCGGAATACAATTGTTCTTGGATATGAAGGGATATGCCTTTCCTCATTTTGGTAATAAAGAATGGAAGTGCGATTTTGTGTTTCTTATCGACATGACTCAGCATCTCAATGATCTTAATGTGGATGTGGATCTTCAAGGCAAAGGACAGTTTATTCACAATTTGGATGATAAAATTCAGGGCTTTGAGCGCAAATTAAAATTGTGGAAACAGCATCTTTTTGCTGAATAATGTGTCTCACTTTCCACATTTAGAAAAAGAAAACGTTAATACTTTTCAAAAATACGCACAATATATAGACATTTCAATTCCAAATGTTCAAAGCTGAGAAGACAGCGGTTTTCATGAAAATGTTTTCCTCGCCATTTAATATCGATGTGGATACAATTCCCGAAGACTTTCAAATGGAAGTGATTGACATGCAGAATAATACCGATTTAAAAAATTTCGGAAGTACGTATGTTTGGGATCAATTATTTTCAACCACGAAATTAATCAAAAATGACCACCGATCAAGACTGAGTGATGTACGATTAGAAAGGTGCGGACGTGTAGCTACCTCATTAATTTCGAAAAAAACAGTGCCAAATTTCCCATTAAAAAATTCAAGTAAATTTGTTTTATTGTTCTTTTCTTGTTTGTTTTCATTTTGCATTAAAATTTGTATATGAAATCTTTACTTTTTTAAAATTTTATATTTTTTTATTCTAATGTTTATTATAAATAAAGTTTTGTAAATTATTAATAAGTGTTACTTTATGGTCGGGCCGCCAAAAAAATTTAAAATTTAAATTGCCCCGTTGATTAAAAACGTTGCTCACCCCCTCACATTTGAAAGAAAATCTTAGATTATCTAGAATCTAAGATTTTCTTTCAAATGTATACCATATTTTCGGACACTCAATCTGTTGTAACACCTGATATATGATAAGGTGCGGATGTAACTGTACTTTAGAAATGTATTATATGATGCGGATTAAATTGACGATATTTCCATGGCGACTCCAGAAAATGCATCGCGTTCCATTTTCGATATTTTCTTTTCGACATTTAAACGGCAGCGCAAATATTGTTGGGATTTCGAAACGCCGCAGAACTATTATATATCGCGCCTGTGCACACACGAAACGCGTCTCAAATATTTACCGATAAATTTTACAACTACCGTTTAATATTAGATGAGCAAATACGTGATTTTTTTTTTCTTTCTTCTCTTTCCTAAAGGAATCTTTCCTCGCTTCATTGCCCTGCGCGAGAACATTTCTCCGCGACGATTCGAAACAGTGATGAAACTTTTATTTTTACCATCCGCAAATATCACGTGACACAGAAATCCATGCAAATAACTGCTGACTTTCGTTGCAACTTTAAGAGTTTCAGAATAATCTTACTTTATTATGTGGTGAAATTAATCTTAATTATATAGCGGATACAGAAAGATATTGAAATTCCATCAAGTATAAATGCTTTGACATGACATTTAAGAATAAAATTATAATAAAATTTTAAAAAAAACTACTGATTGATCATGAAAAAATATATACCCAAAATAAATATTGTTTTAATTAGTTTACCAAATATACAAGCTTAATAATTGAATGATGAAACATTACTGAAAAATCTGTGTTTGTAATATGCATGTTTTGTATATTAAGAAATAAATGTTTCCAACAATATAAATAAGTTTTGAATATAAAGCAATATACTGTAGAATTTCATATAAAATTATTTTGCTGACTTCCGTCTTTTATCTTTTGATACACCAAACACAATTTCATGATGATGGTCCAAACAGGCGCAGGATTATATTTTACTTTCACTTTGATGTACGTTTGTGAAACAAACAGTGACGTTGGATAAATGATATCTTCTAGTAGAATTTATATCTGTCATTGTTAGTAATCGTTTATGTTTCATGAGATTATTCAGATTTTATGTGAATGTTTCCGTTTTGCTAAAATAATCCTAGATCACAAATTTATTAACTAATTTTTTTGAGTAAAAACGTATACAGTATAAAATATAGTAAATTCTTGATCTTGTACATTTCCCTACAACAGTTAAAGTGAATTTCAATGAAAATATAAACGATTGTGGCCAGGAAAGAGCTATTGATTTGTATATGTTATTTGTTGTGTATAAAATGAAGTTTATTTTACAACTAAAACGCGAGTTTATAGCTATATAGGGTTGCTGCAAATTTGCCAGAAATTTTGGAAAAATATATAGTTTCGATATCTGGGAATTATCGTTCGAGACTCGAGAAATTTCGAAAATGAAAATGGCACTAAAAAATAATAAGTTTTATGTGACGAAGACCCGAGGACTATAAATATAGCAGATGAACTTAATGAAAATGTAAAATATTCAATCTCTAACAAAAGGAAAGAAAACCAGCAATTTAGATCTTCTATATAATTCACACAGCTCCATAGAACCAACAAATACGTGAGATGATATTTTCCTTATCAGGAAATTATGCTAAAAAATTAATAAATAGACTTTTAGATCGGTCCTTAAATGCACTCACGTATTTAAATGCATCTATTTGATAAGTATTTAGTTTACTATTGGTTATTTGTGTATTTGTGCAATTTAAAATATAATATAGAATAAATAAATTGGTTATAAATATTTCCCGACTCCGGAGAATTCCCGGGAATTAAAAAAATGTCGAGATTGAGCAAAAATAGTTCTATACTTATCAAAATAATAGATAATTATTATTTATTAGTTATGTTCCTTTAAATATCACTGTAAATAAGTTTTGATCTGATTTTGTATGTTTTGATTTAACGTCCATGCATCCATATACTTCGATATAAGATAATTAAAATGGCATTAAGTTTGATGTTGATGTTCGAGGGGGAAGAAAATTAAACGTTCACGAATAAATCTGCGAATATAGGGGGACGGGATTGGGTTTATTGCACGACCAACAAGTTATATTAGATCGTGGTATTTGTACCCTAACGCAAAAGCCGTCCCCTTTACCAAAATAAAATGCTTTGTAACACAATGAATTTTTATACTAGTATGATCATCTGTAATGTCTAACCTGGACGCGTGATTCGGTGAGTCCTATTCGCATAGCAATCTCCTCCCTCATGAAGATGTCTGGATAGTGTGTCTTTGAGAAGCATCTCTCGAGTTCGTTCAGTTGAGCCGGCGTGAATCGCGTCCTGTGCCGCTTTTGCTTGGCAGGTTTATCTCCGTCGCTGGAGCTGCCGCCGCCGCCTCCACCACCCGTCAGAGCGCCAAGGGGCGGTAAACCCCCGTCGCACAATCCGCTCAGTCTCGGCTGGTCCAGTACCTTCAATTCGCCTCCGTGCCTCTTGATATCCTCCCCGCACATCTCCTTTATTCCTGGAACGCACAGACCAAAACACCCCGAATTCATTCCCCATTAGTTAACACTCTTGCAAATATTTTTTAGATATATTATATCATATATTAATCTTACAAAATTCAACATACATAGATTTAGTTCACCAAATGCTAAAATATATCATATATTCAGAAAATGACATAAATCTGCAACAAATACAATAAACGAAGAAAAACTTGCAATAAATCCTAATTGATATAACATTTTGATAATATGTTTTAGAAAAACTTGGTTTGCTCGAAGTTGTCAACGAGACACTTTTTTCTTAACGACGTCCCTCAAAAAAATAAATCCTAAACATTCGTGTCATTTGTCTTATGTTATGGAACGTCCCTGTATTCTAATAACAAACGAATTTGATAGGAAGCGTTTCTTTGTCTACATAGAACCTACATATATGTCGAAATAGCCCATTTCAGCCATTTTTAATAATTGGAATTATAAATTTATATTGTATTTATGTTTGTTTTATGCACATTCTGATCTTTTATTTAACTAATAGTAATAGTTAAAGTAGGAGTTTCCTAATATTAAGCTATCAAATAATGAACGATATTTACATTTCGTTAATATTTTTTTTAATAGATTCATTGAATGTTTTATTAATGTAAAATTAATGTTAGATAATAAACACTTAATTATTAATTTTATAACTAATTGTAAATGTAATTCTAATAATAATCATCATTTGGTAATTTTAAATATTGAATCTTATAAATAATTAACTAATAAATAAAATAAATCTAGAAAGAAGTCTATCTACATTCAATTTTAAATTACTTTAGTTCAATATTTAAATGGAAAGCTAATTAAGATAATTAAACGGACTGTTTTGTCAATATAATATAGTGCAATATGAATTAATAATAATCTTTATTACAACTGTCACAAAAAAAAAACAAAATTAAACATATTCATTAAGATCCATGGTCTGCCTATGAATTATTATTTTACTATTAATTTAATTGAAGTTTATCAAATTATTTCTTATATTTTTTGGACTGTTGCAACAAACGTTATTATTATATTTTATTGCTAATTGTACTAAATTTGTATTTATTTACAAATTTGATGTGTACTCGGATTTGTATAAATGAAAATATGTAATTCCAGATAGATTCTGATAGAAATGCTATTTGCACATACCTACCATCATCATAATAACTTAGATAATACATCTAAATCTGCTCACATCCACTGAAAACTGAACTTTTAAATATACTAGAAGAATCTGTTATGGACTGCGTTCCCTCTACTGCTAGTTTTAAGTCATTTTCACTGAAACTACGATCCACAATATAAGAATATCGTCGTGATGCACTGATGAGAACTATTCAAGGCATGTCGGGTTTCGAAAAATATCGTAGGAGAGCGGATTATAATTGAGGAAACGTTGTAAATATCACTGGGAACATTTAATCCTGCTGCAGCGGCGTTATTTGAATCGAATGGAATAGATGTTGATGAAGATAGGAGGAAGCTTAAAGTTGAGCTGAGCGTGTGTCGCGAGCGCGAAGCATACTGAAAAGAATCATCGCGTTGGTTGGAAGCAGGTTGGGTGTTGTGGTGTAAATGGTATATGGGTACATGGGTATGTATGGTGGTATTGAGTGAGAGCAGCCACCCTAATTGCATGGCCTACCGGAGCGAGCCTGGAATATTGGCCTAATGAGGGCGAGGCAGCTTCAATTTAGCCCCCCATTTAACATTAGCCTATCGTTGCTGAATCACTAAAGACTTTAGCGTCAATTAACGGCCGGTGCCCCCCACTAACTTACCAACAGATCCCAAATTGTTCAACATCGCCGGTGCCGTCGTTCGTGGCCCCTCAAAGTCGTCGCTGATGACGCGCCGTCGGCCGCACTTCCAAAGGTCTTCCAACTCCTGACGCACTGCACTGTTTATTTAATGAGTACTGATTTGATACTGAATTGTGAATATCTTCTTCATTCCCGGGCCCCGACCCCACCCACGCACAGGACGAAGGGGGCGGTACCCGTCCACCTCCCGTTTGCACCGACCCCGCGTTGGCCTGGCCCCCACCCCTTCTTGGCGAAAGAAGGCGGTGCCCGACCAATCGAAGCGCCATATTTATTTCATGGGCGCGACCGCCCCCTCGCATACCGGCATCTCGCATCCTTCGTGTCCCCTCGCACCACCTCCGCACGCTCTTCCCATGTACGCTTCTTCTTTTTTTTTTCCTTCTTCAACTTTTTTTTATATGCCTTCCTCTACTCCGCTTTTCAATCATAGCCCGACAAAAACATTACAAAACCATTCAAAGCCCGGAATCTTCTTGAAATATAAAATCCGAAGTCTTTGCAGTAGCTGCGCAGAAATTTTTATTGGTCCCTTTGCATGAATTCCCCAAAATTTCCATCGCATTTAATTTCAAAGCTTCATTTTCAATCTCAAATCTCTTCCCAACACCACAAAAAATAACACGAATCAAACTCTATACTAAAATATTACATTAACGTAGATAAATACAATTAAATTTAAATAAATTAATAGGTATATTAATATATTAATAGGTATAAATAATGAACTTTTCTCCATCATTTTTTTCTTAATAGTAACAATAATATAATATTTATTGAAACAGTAAAATTACAAAATAGAAAAAGACTCAATACAATAATATAAATATCATAAATAAAAAATGTCAACTGCTTCAAAGCGCTATTGACCATAGGTCTTTCTGACCTTTTATTCTTATTTTATTTTATTGACGATTTAGCTTTAGGAAAGAAAATCCATAATGCAAATTATTAAAATTCTACTTGAAAAATTGGATATTAATTCTTTGATTTGTCATAAAAATCAAATTTATATAAATTTTAATGACTCTGGAAAGAATTTACCATACATTAAATACAATAAAAAATCATCAGCATGATATAATGATGAGTGATTTATGTATTCACATAATGAAATTAATAACTTCTCATTATAGCCCGCTTTTTATCGATTGTTGTATGCGATTCTTGTTTGACTTTCAATGAGAACAGTTAGTAGGCAAATTAACATGTGTAAATATATGTTGTGAATACTCTTAATTAAACTATTCTACTTTGGCGCTAATTGCGTATAATCAATGGAACAGCGATTTGTGTATATTTGGTAGTAAAATCCGCACCGGAAATTAGTATATTTATTTCATATTTATTTACTTCATTCATTTTCTTTTATAGTTTTAATTTTCAAATATTGAATTAATACATTAATAGAATATTATTTCATCTTTTTTTAACTTTTAAACAGTTCAGCAATCTGACTTATGATATATATGCCTTATGTATTGTTCTCATAATAACACATGGACTTTTACATAATCGCTCTAATGATCAGTAAAATTTAATGAAAGTATATAGTTTTCGTAAACTGGGACCAACTTTGAATAGTTTAGATCAGTGATTCCCAAAGTGGTCTATGACAGCCTACAAGGGGTCTATGACAACCTGCAAGG